GAATGAAAGCAGTTCTAGGGCTTTGATGACTATTCCTGCACTTCCCCATCTCATTGGCCTGGGAGCAAGAAATCCTTGGTTCCCAGGTTCTCCAGGGAGGAAAAAGCACTCTCCTTCCCCTCCCCCCTCTTAGTTTCCCTAGATTCATTCAAGGCTCACCTCAAATCCCACATCTCTTAGCAGGACTTTCCTCCCCCCCACCTCCTTTACCCCACTCCAAAGTACCTTCTTTCAAATTAGCTTCACCTACTCAGTGCCTACCTTATTCAGATTTAGTTATTTACATGTTTCTTCCCCATTAGAATGTAAGCTCCTTAAAGGCAGGGATTTTCTCTCCTTTCTTAGTTTCTCCGACTCTTAGAACATTACCTGACATACAGTAAATACTAATTAAAAAAAAGTTTGTTGACTCACTAATAAAGGTACAGGTGTCCAGTGAGGAATGTCTCACAACCCACTCATAGCCCAGAATGGACTTTTTTTCTCCCTTTCTTTGTGTCTGCATCCTTTGAGGCCCAGTTCAAATGATGCAGGGAAAAGTATCCCTGGGTTGGGGGTCAGGAAACTAAAAGACTAATTCTTGTCTGACCACACACTAACTGTATTAATTAGTATCCATTGGTTAATCCAGAAACATTTATTAAGCACCTTTTATGTGCCAGGCATTGTGCTAAATGCAGAGGATACAAAAAGCAGTAGTAGGGAAATTATCTGACCTCCCTTTGATGAGGTCTAGAGGTTAGGGGTGCGGGAACCCTAAGATCACGACACTCAGGTCGTGCCTGAAAGAATTCAACCCAAGCCTTCTTTTAGCCAAAGACAAGGTTTATTAAAGATCCGCCATATTGCCAGACTCTTGAGGAATCTAGGAGTCTGCAAGTATTGGCTAGATTCTAAGAATCTGAGCAGTGGCTAGATTTTAGGAATCTGACAGTGGCTACATTATAAGAATCCGAGCCTCTTAATGGAGATGAAATGGACCTTATATACAGAAAGACTATGGGAGGGATCTACGAATGTCTAAGTAGTCTATGAGGTAATAGAATTCCAGGGGTGGCCAAGGGAGAATGGAGCCTAGAGAGGATTAAGGGTGGGAAGTAGCTAGGCTAGGTTAAGGATAACAGATTGGTATAGCCACAATGAAAGGCCAGTTGATGGGATTATAGCCTCAGATGCCAGAGATTTGGCCTTGTGGGAAAGTCTAGGGTTTTTCCTTTTTGGGGTCTAGATCCCATCCTCATCACCTTGACTTTACTTTCTTTGCTGCAAATCAAGGGCATTTTACTAGAGAATGATCTCAGAGATCTTTTCCAATCTCTATGACACCAAGGTCTCATATGCAAAAAAAAAAATTTAAAAAATCACAGGATTCAGGTGGGCTGAAGGGGATCCCCACATGTCCCAGAGCTTCAGTTTCCTCTTCTAAAAAGTGAAAATGGCAGTGCTTATACCATCTACCTCACCCAACTGTTGGGAGGAAAGCACTTGTCAAACTCTAAAATGAGTTGACATTGTTAACTTCTCTGGAGTTATTACTACCAACTACGCTGGAGGAGGAAATGGAGAACCACTCCAGTATCTTTGGCAAGAAAGTCCCAAATGGGCTCACAATGAGTTGGCCATGACTGAAACAACTAGACAACAATAATATTAACTAGCAACTACCAGCAGAAAGGTTTTATGGGGACCTTTTAAGGCCTGAGTGTTAGAAGGAAGCAGCTTTCCTTGTCTCTGAGTTCTCTCAGCCACGTCTTCAATTTTCTATATAAGGCATCACATTAGAGATACAAAAATTTAAAAGCAGCAGAAGTTGGCAATCTCGTGGGATGATGTAACACATACAACTCACTATCCCTGCTTTAATTATGGTCAACTTTATGAAAGTGAGACCTTCTGGTATAGTAGAAAGAGTGCTAAAGTAGAGTTCCAAAGGACCTGAATTTGCTCCTTACTACCTAGGTGGCACAGTAGATAAGAGTGCTGGGTCTAGAGTCAGGAAGATTCATCTTCTCAAGTTCAAATCTGGCCTCAGACACTTACCAGCTGTGTGACCCTAGGCAAGTCACTCAGCCCTGTTTGCCTCAGTTTCCTCATCTGCAAAATGAGCCAGAGAAGGAAATGGCAAACTACTCAAGTATCTTTGCCAAGAAAACCCCAAGTGGGATCATGAAGAGTTAGAAGGGACTGAACAACAACGAAACCTACCTTGAGCAGGCAAATTACTTCTCTGGGCTTCAGTTTTCTCATCTTTAAAATGAGGAGATTGGACCAGAGGACTTGTTAAACCTCTGCCAGCTCTAAATCTATGAGGGTATGATTATTTTTCATATCTGTCCTCATGTCCTCTGCTCATGCCTGCACCCAGATGATGAAGTGGATAGAGAGTTGGACCTGAAGTCAGGGAGATGCAAGTTCAAATTGGCCTCGGACACTTAGTAGATGTGTGCCCCTAGGCAAGTCACTTAACGTTATGTTTGCCTCAGTTTGTAAAATGGCGATAATAATAGACCTGCCTCCCACTGTTGTTGTGAAGCTCAAGTGAGATGATATTTGTAGAGTGTTTGCAAACACAAATCTGTGGTACAGTGGATAGAGTATATCAGTGTTATGGTGGATAGAGCACTAGGACCTATAGTCAGGAAGACCTGAGTGGCCTCAGACACTGCCTAGCCGTCTGACCCTGGGCAGATCACTTAACCCTCACTGCCTCCCCATCCCCTACCCCCAAAAAAGGAAGAAAGGAAATAAGCATTTATCAAGATTTCATTTCATTTATATATTATATATTAATATATGTTATATTATTACATTATCTATGTTATTATATATTAATATATATTTATTCATTCCGTATATTTATTTACTAGTCAACTATCTGCCAGGTACTGTCCTAAGCACTTTACAAATATGATTTCATTGTATCTTCACAACAATCCTGGGAGGAAGATGCTATCATTATCTTCATTTTACAGTTGAGGAAACTGAGGCAGACAGGTTAAATGACTTACTCAGGGCCATAAAGCTAGTTAAGTATCTGAAGTTGGATCTAAACACAGGTCTTCCTGACTCCTAGTGCTTTATCCACTGTACCATCTAGCTGTTAGATTGTAAGGTCTTTGAGGACAGGTACTGTTTTATTTATCTTTGGGTACCTACCAGTGCTTAGCACATAGCAGCAGTAGCAATAATAATAATTTTACATTATATAATTGAGGTGCAGAATTTAATAACAACTGGTCTTAGATTCAGAAGGTCCTGGGTTCAGTCCTCTCTCCCCCATGTACCATATGATCATGATCCCTTACTTTCTTCTATAGAGTGACCATAGTAATAACTACCTAGTGTGCATTGCAGGGTTGTTATGAAATTCAAAATGAGAATATACATGAAGGCAATTTGGAAGATATGCAGCCCTATATAGATCAGTCAATCAGTTGTTGTTGTTGTCGTCGTCATTGCTGCTGAGTCATTCCAATTGTGCATGACTCTTCATAACTCCATTTGGGGTCCTCTTGGCAAAGATACTGGAGTGGTTTGCCATTTCCTTCTCAGTCTCATTTTACAGATGAGGAACTAAGGCAAACAGGGTTAAGTGCCCAGGGTCGCACACCTAGTAAATGTCTGCGGCCAGATTTGAATTCCAGAAAATGAGTCTTCCTGACTCCAGACTCTATCCACTGCAACACCTAGCTTCCCCAATCAGTAAGCACTGAATAAACACCTACTATATACCAGGCACACAGTTAGGCACAAGAGATACAAAGACAAAAATAAAACAATCGCTACCTTCAATGAGTTTACTTTCTGTCCGAAGAGATAATATGTACATATGTAAGCATGTGCAGAATATGTACAAGATAAATCCAAGGTAGTTTAGGAAGAGAAAAGGCAGGAGAAGCTGGGAGGATCATGTAAAAGGCGGTTCTAAAATGTAAGGTATTTTTAAAGGCCCCAACCCTCCTTTTTAAGATATGATGTTACATGGAAATAACATTGATAAGGGCCCAAACTATTACAAAAAAAAAAATTACAACCCTATAGCCATGTGACTAATTTTCCTAAATGCCCATGCCATTAACTCAGAGGCAGATCTAAGGAGTACATCAAAACTTAGAGGGCAGTGACACTCCTTCTGAATGCAGAAACAACTAAGCTGAACATCTAGTTAGTGAGCATAATTAGTTCAAGGGCTTGTAGATGCTTTTTCCCTTCCTGCCCCCATAGTATAACCAAGAGAGCTCCTTCCTGCCCCATCCCTCCAGGTTCCAGGAATCTCTGCTTCTTCCCTCATCCTCCAGGAGGAGAATGGGAGAGCATGCTGGGTTCTGATATGTCTGGTCCCTACCCTCTATATGATATCAAATAGTATTGACTTAAGTTGATAAGAGGGCACATTTCCTGTGTTTTGTGGAGCTTTGCTCAGGTACCACAAATCATTTAATCTATCAATCAACAAGCATTATTAGTGCTTACTATGTGTCAGACACCCATCTTAGAACTGGTGACATAAAAAAAAGGCAGAAACAATCCCTGCCCCCAAAGACCTCACTTTCTAAAATGGAAAGACAACACATAAATAATTAGGTACATATAAGGTATATAGAATAAGAAGATAGAAGGTGATATGAAAGGGAAAAGCAGTAGCATCTGGGAGAACTGGAAAAAGGTCTCCTGTAGCTTCCTGAGCAGGGGAGGGTACAATGACATTGTCATATGTACACTTTAGGAAAACCACTTTGGAGGGTCTTGTGGCCCAGAGACCTATTTAAAGACTATTGATAGAGTCCAGTTGAGAAGTGATAAGAGCCTGAACTAGAATTGTGATTGTATGAGCACAGAGAAAGGGATGTGTATAAGAGATATTATGAAGATAGAAATAACCAAAATATATCAACAAATTGGATATGAGTACAAATTATGGTTCTTTACAAATCACGCAATGTGCATAATTTTCCACAGTGAATGTGACACAACCTTTTTCCTAACCCAATTCTTTTTAGTGCATCAGGTAGCTGAACGGGTGGAGGCTCTGGGTCAATTTGTAATGAAGACAAGAAGAACACTCAAGGGCCATGGGAACAAAGTCCTCTGCATGGACTGGTGTAAAGACAAAAGGAGGATTGTGAGCTCTTCTCAGGTAAAATACACTTGGTCTCAAAATGCCATTCACCAGTAATGGCTTCTGGTGCGAGTACTTAAATAAGGAGAAATAAAAATGCGTTTCTCTAAATTCTTTCAGAATCTTTGTAACTTTCATTCAACCATGTCAGTCTCCCAGAAGATAAATCAATACAGTCAATTCATTTTCTAAATCCTATAAGTCTTGCACCCCTTAGAAGTGAAAATTCAGTTGGGAATTATCTGTATGTGATCTCTATTGAGCAAAATAATTTCTTCCTTTCTGAATTTATAGAGTATTATTTGTTTACAAAAAAATCAATAGCAGTTTCATGGTTTCCATGGGCTTAAAAATTATTAATTCCTGCAGTGTTTCTTCAGTCCCCCAAGAAAACAGCATGAGGTAGTAGGAAGAGCATAGAATTTGGCATCAGAGGAGCTGGATTTTAATCCCAGCACAGCTTTTATTGCCTGTGTGACCTTGAACAGGTCATATTGCCCCCCCTTACCTTGGATTTCCTAATCTGTAAAATGGAAGAGTTGGACTAAATTATCTATAATCTATTAAAATATCTATATATTATATTATATAGATATTATATATATTATACTATATATATAATATCTATAAAATATAATCTATTTCAGTTCTAAATCTTATAAGCCCCTCCAAAAAAAAATCTCTGCATGCTCTCTCATTCTCCTCACCAGAATGTCTCCTCAAGATGTTTGGCTATTTTTAGAGAAAAAAAAATCTTATATAACCCAAAAGTATGAAAATGGGCCATTGTCAAGGATATTCAAATGTGCTAGGGAAGGTCATTCCCAAAGAAGAGTTATAGAGACATTTTTAACAATGAGAATATTATCAGAATAAAAAGTGTGTTGCTTCCCAGGATAACTACTTCGAAAGCAACACTACTTAGATGTATCACTTCTGGTATATTTGTTAAAAATCAGTGGTGTTACTTTCTAGTCACACCTCATATCTGGGTATCATTAGTCATAGTGATGGGTTCTTAAATGTTGGAGTATTGTCCATTGTACCAGTCAGTCTGAAATCCATCTCCAGAAATGACTAGGAATTATTTCCTACCTGGCCTTTCAGTCTAGAATCTCCAACCAGTCTGAGGGACATTATAAACGGTTGTTTTGATTGTCAATTTAAAATATTAGGGGGGAAGAATGCTATGCTGTGAAAACTCTCACCAGTTAGGACTTACTATCTTGAACTCAAACAATTCCACAATTCCTTTACGGAAGGCCAAAAGAATCAGACACCAAAGGAATCAACTAGATTTCTGCAGAAAATCTCAATGCTCAGGTTGTTACAGTAGAAAATGAATAATAATAGGATCTAAAAGTGTTATCAAAAACAACAAAAAAACCTATCAGATTAAAGATTTCATAAAAGTATTATATGTAGTTACATAAGACAGAAAACAACGTATAGGTCCAACTGTAGGGTAATGATTAAATAAAGTTTATATTAATGTAATAGAACATTATGATGCCACTAAAACGGAAAGGTGTACAAAATACAAAGAAATCTGGAAAGGTTTTTACAAAATAATACATTGTAAAAAAAAGTAAAAATAGAATGGAAAGCACAGAAATTACAATTATATAAGAGAAAAAGAGAATGGGAATGAATGGACAAAGAATCCTAATGAAGACCCAGAGGGAGCGACTGAAAAATTGTTATGCTACTTTATACATTGAAATAAATTAATGTAAACATAATTACTAAAATCGTTTAGTTGACTGTACTTGTGTTAAAAAGTTTTTATTAAAACTTAAAAAAAAAGAAAGAAAATGGCCAATGGAAGTAGGGATAGAGATGAAGGGTTATAAACATGATCAATAAAGCTGTAATTAAATTGTCCAACAGTTACCTGAAAATTATTTCAGGTTTATAATCTTTTGTGTGCAGGCTTAAGGATTTGGGACATTGTGAGTAGAATTTGAAATGTTTGAAATTTGTTTGAAATTTATATTTGTTTTAAATGTATGGTTATTTGAAATGTATGATTGTTCATTATAATGGATTGTATAGAACAGATTACTTTCTGTATTATGCAAACAATATGAAGTAGGAAATTGAGAATTTATCCAGATCAAATAGACGCTTACTCATAGGGAAAAGGAGAGTTTGGGGGCTTGAATTTTCCAAATAGATTAAAGGTTTCACATTGTTTTGTTTTGGTTTTTTAAGTAATATTCCATTTTTTTTCAAAACTGATGAGTTTTGTTTAGACACATCAGTTACATTCTGGTACCCTCCTCCTCCACTACCATTCCCCCAGGACCTAGCCATTTTTTTTATTAGGCTAAGCAAAAAAAATGTCAAATACATAAGATGCAATTGACAGCACAAAGAACTTTCCATTTTACCAGGCTTACTGCCTCTTACCAGGAAAGAAGTGTGCTTTAACCTCAGTCAGCTGGAAGCAACATTGGCCTTTACGTTTTATCTGAATTCTGTTATCTTTTAGGTGTTACCTTCATCTGCATTATTACAGTCAGAGTGTATATGTTTGTTTTCTTCACTCCTCATCAATAATATGTCTTCCTATATTTCTTAGAATTCTTCATATACCTTATTCTTTACAGTACAAGAATATTCCATTCATATACCATATACCATACCTTCATATATGATAATTTTTTCATCTTTTCCCTGATGAGAATAGATTTATAGGCCTGAAGCATCCAGATTATCATGTCAACTTTCTACTTTAGTTAGCCCCTGTAGATACAAATTTTAGCTGAAATTTTAGGCTGTATTTGTTGAAAATTCAGAGATACTACTGAGATCTGCCTTTTTTATTTCATCCAGGATGGGAAGGTGATAGTATGGGATTCCTTCACAACTAATAAGGTAAGAAATTTTTCCAAAGTCTCCATAATTAGCATCAAAAAGTATACAGTCCCTGTACACAGTGGGCATGAAATAATTGTATACTAATACTACTGCTAAGTATACAACTGTGAATATAAAACTGTTGTCCCCTTCTGCTAGAAAAGAGATATTTAGAATTAAAAATTTACATGAGTGAATCTCCTGTTGATATGGGATTATGTCTGTTGGAAAGTATGGAGGCAGCATAATATAAAAGAAACTGGAAATAGAAATGAAGTTCAAGTCAGAAGATGTAGATGCCAGTCCTGGCTTGACTTCCAGCATGCAGATCACAAGCCATCAATGACTGCCTATCTTATGCAACATCTCATGCCCTAAGTTCATCACAAGGAGTCCACTAGGGATCATGGGGCCTTCCTTCCTTTTGACATCTTTGTGAAACAATGAAACACATGAGTTGTCCATTAGTTTTCCCAATCTACTGATATGTGACCAGACCATCTTTTTAACTCATACATTTATTTTATGACATCCTTTATACTGATTCTCCTTCATAAATTCTTTGTATATAATGTGTTATACCTGTTAAATATAGATTCCAATATAAAATAACTGAAAATGCATCATTCAGATTAAACACTTTCAATATTTTTCACTGTCTAAATGCTTTTTAAAAATCAATACTGCTGGGGCAGCTAGGTAGCACAGTGAATAGAGCGCTGGCCCTGAAGTCAGGTTGACCTGAGTTCAAATCTGGCCTCAGACCAAACACTTGACACTTACTAGCTGTGTGACCCTGGGTAAATCACTTAACACCAATTGCCTAAAAAAAAAAAATCAATACTGCTTTTGTATTGGAGAATTTCTTCAAAATATTAGTAATTCCCATTGAATTTTCAAATTGGAGAGAGAAGTCTGATTTATTTAGTATAAATGAATGTCTAGTTCCTGAGGTATCAGAAAGTTCATGATCAGGGAATTTCTACCTCTGTCTCACATTCTCCCATGTCTTGTCCACCTATGAAGCCAGCGTTGGGGAATAGCTATTGAAAATTGTGATATGGTGTGGGGAGTTGAGTTATACCCAGTTTGACCAATGACATAAGGAATCAACTTCTTCCTTGAATATTGATGTGTTGAAGGAGGAAAGATGTGGCATGAGATTTGCCACTTGCCAAAATAGCAGAGGATGTAAACCTTACAAGCAGGTATTAGGATTGACACTGCCAATTTCAAACTCCAGTCCCTTGACTTCTTATGGCCTATTAGTGAATAGAAACATTTTGGGGAAAAGAAATTTATTTTTCTTGTAGCCAGCTAATTTTCCATGAGAAATATATCTCTGAAATAGCTGCATAAACTTACAGGAAGTTATGATTTACTTCAAATTAAGTTTACAAATAACTGTAAAAAAATTTCTCTGATTTTGTGTATGTTTCAGGAACATGCAGTGACTATGCCCTGTACCTGGGTGATGGCATGTGCCTATGCCCCATCAGGATGTGCCATTGCCTGTGGGTAAGTAGAATAGAACATCTCAAACTTTCAATCAGATTCATTTTATTTTCTTTTGGCAAGAAATTTCACTGTTCATGTCTCCTACAAAAGATATGCCATTAAAATGAGTGTTCCATTCCTTGGTTCCCCATAATTTTTAAGGCGTAAAACTTGACCTTCCTCTTACATATTTTTTACACTGGGTATAGGAAATCATTAGTGTAGAGAACTCACAGTGAAGAAACTCTCCGTATCAGATCAAGTCAATATATTTCCTGCAATTCACTGCCTTAGGTCCCTAGAAGACTGAAAGATTAAGTGATTTACCCATGGTCACATGGTCAGTAAAAGTGGAAGGCCAGGCTTGAACCCAGGTCTTTCTGACTCCAAGGCCAGCTCTTTATCTACTATGCTATTCTGTCTCTACATCCATAAGAGTTAGCTAACATTTACATAGTGCTTTAAGGTTTGCAAAGCACTTTACAAATATTATTTCATTTTATCCTCATCAACCCTGGGAAGGGCTGATGAGGATAATGAGGCCGAGAAAGAGTTAGTGACTTGCCCAGGGTCTTACAGCTGATAAGTATTTGAGGCAGGATTTGAACTCAGGTCTTTCTACCTCCAGATGCATGTAGCACTACATCTGCCACCTAGCTGCTCAGGTGAATAATCTATATTCTCATTAAAGAGTTTAAAATATGTGCAATCCCCTCTCCTCCCCCAAACAAGAAAGTGAAAAAGTCAACTCCCAGAAATTCCCTACCTCCTTCTCGTAGTTCCCTTTTTCCCCGCAGTCTCTCTCACTCCACATGAATACATTTCAAATGTCCAGACGCCTGAAGTGTATCAGAGGCAGATGCTGTTCAAATTTTTTTTTTAACTGGAGAAGCTGAAGCAATGGATGGTTGAGTAATCTGCTTAAATAAAAGTCAGTGGGAGAACAGTCAATCCCTTAAAAAGCATAAACAGCCTGCTGTGGGAGGCAGATCACACCACACACTTCTTTAATCAAGAATAGTGCTAGCCAAACATGCCGTATGGCAAGAACAAAGAAGTGTCTGCCTTGTCCTTGGTAAAGGACAAAACATTCCGATCGATTGTAAGCCACCTAAGAAGGTGAACACAACTGGTTAGTAATTCCCTTCTCAAAGGGACCAAGAGAGGCAATAATTTTCAGACCTGACATCTTGTATTTTCATTTCAGGAGCTCAAGTTCAGGTTGTTATGTGAAGTGGCTGCTTACTGGGGTTTACCTGTGACTCCTGGGCATGTTTCTTAGACTTTTGGGGGCGAGTCAGCCTGAGCCCAAGCCTTGCTTCTGGCGCCTTTGATAGCTGCCACTTTCCTTATCTTGATTCAGCCAGTTGTAATGAGAAGACAAACTAACAGTCTGTACTGCACAAATGGAGAGAGGTAAACATCAGTCCGGGTTCCTTCCTGGGGTATCAGAGAAGCCCTTCTGCACAGTCAGCTGTTGCTGATCAATGCAGCATGCTCCCTGCTTACTCATGCCTCTCACAGTAAAAGAGCCACTTCTCCCGGTAGTGAAAAGCTAGAAACAAGGAAGTCAGGGCAGGAAATCTGAGACAAGGAGAACAAAACCTGGGGCTGGGTATTACGGCAGGGAGAAAGAGGGAGAAAGCAGGAAGAGAATGACCCTCACTCGCTATATGAGTTTTCAAAACTAAATATTCAGAAATAAAGGAGTTTCCACTTTTCAGTGAAAACCAATCTGAGGCTGCTGATAAGGCCCGCTTAGTCTACTGCACAGAAGAATGTAATCCTTAGCAGAGGCTGATAAATCAGAAAGGGAAAACGTGGTTCTGTCCCATGCTACAGTCAAGAGAAGGGCTCCTTTTCCATGCAGCTGAAAATACTGCTCAATATCCATAAGTAGGTAACCTATCAACCTAACACCTGCTATGTGCCAGGCACCGTGCAAAGCACTTTACAAATATTGTTTCATTTGATCCTCACAACAACCCTAGGATATAAGCGGTGTTATTATCTCCTTTTACAGTTGAGGAAACTGAGGCAGAAAGAGGTGAAATGACTTTCCCAGGATCACACAGCTAGTAAGTACCTGAGGCCTGGTTTGAACTCAAGTTTTCCTGACACCCAAAGTCAGTGCTCTATCCACTGGGCCACCAGCCACTACCAGGAGAATTAGGGAAACAGAAAAGAGCCATCATCCTGGAAAATAATGTCTAAAGACATGGTGGCCTGGGAATTACCTTTTGTAATCTAACCTTTGGGTGTGCATTAAGATGTTCACAATACCTTTTTCATAAAATCACAGGGCTATAAAGGACTACAGTGTTCTTTCAGTGCAAGAGAGATGATTATCTAGTACATTCTGAGAGCTCTCTGGGAAAAGAGATTCAAAGTCTCTTTTGATAACTCCGTGTTAGCAGCACGCACAAATAGAAAAGTTATTCTTTATAATCTATAATCTTTAACCAAAATCCTTCTTCCTACAAATTAAGATAACTTCTAGAGTCTCATCATGCAAAGAAACTTAAGGGTTATCTTTTCTACCTCATAACTGAGCAGAAATCCCCTCTATAACAACCTTGTTATTTTTTTTCTATTTCAGTGGAGAGGGAAAACACCTGGTTGCTAGGATTTTATAAGAATCTCTATATAAAGTTAAATAGTAGCCCCAGGTTAAAAAGTAAGTTAGAAATTATTAAACTCAGGCTCTCACTTGACTAGGTCTCTGCCATAGCCACCTCTACAAACTAAATCGTTTTCAATACTTTCAATATTTATTTATGAGTCTGGTTTTCTGATGCTTACATGGTCTAGGTGTATCATCAAACCCACTCACTGGCTGTGTAACCCAGAGGCATGGCATCTAAAGTGGTCCTGAATCCCCCTTGTCTAACTGAAAGTCATAGAAAATATAAAATTACATTGTATTTATTGTTGATCATGAAAAAGAATTTGAGTCAGCAGAGCAAGACACTGCCTTAAAGGTTCTTTTACAGCAAAGTATCCCATCCATGCATCAAAATCTTTCAAGATATGGCAACAGAAATAACCCTATTCAATGACCCTCTAATTTTAAATATCAGTCAAAACATCAAATGGGGAATATGCTTTTCAAAAGTATTTGCCACTGTGATACAGCAGATACAGCACAAAGCCCATTTGGAAGAAGATGTTATTGTAGATGCCCCTGTTTTCAGAAGATTCTGTGGTGGTTCCATCAAGTTCCATAAAACTGAAATACCTTCTAAAGGAGACCTATAACCATTTAAAAGAGCTTGGTATAATCATCCATACAGGAAATACCAAGTGGATGAATGTTACGTATTACCTAGAAAATGAGCTTCATTTGTATAGACAGATTAGTATTTATGTCTGGGACAATCAATATGGATGGACCACAAATTGGGCTTAGAATTGAATAGGAGGACAAGAGTTGGCTGGGTTGCCTTCAAAAAACTGTGAAGTTCCTTTAATAACCCCAAGTTCCCCATGGAAACAGAAACTATCTTTTTAATACCAACATTCTACCACTGTTGCCATTTGGCAACAAGACATTAAGTGCAACACTCTCCAAAACATTAAAAATGAATATCACACAGGGCAATGGAGAGACACGTGGTATATGTGAGCAGGCTACAGCAGGGAATCAATGAGGAAATCCACAGAATAGGAATAAAAATGTCATCAAGGAAACATATGATAGACAAAGAGGATGAGCTGGTCACATGCTCAGGGCAAGTGATAACAGGTGGGCAATTGAAGTGCTCCATTAGTATTTTCACATGCTAGAAGAAAACAAGGACTGCCTCCAGCTGGTTGGATGGACACTTGCTACACTTAAGTGGCCAACTTAAGGGAGGATACGGATAAGAATCACATGGGATAAAGAAGTATGGACAGTTTGTGTTCTACGTCTTTGGAAGGGACTTCCCAGTTGATTAGATCACCTGTCCATTTGAGTACTCTTGAAATAACAGTTTCCAACTTCTCCACATTCTTCCCCTAACTGTGGCATTCCTCATTGGGCTTTCCTCTGTATCATTCCTATCAAGAGACATTAATGCAACAATTCTAGAGTGTTATAGAGCCAGATCTTGCATGTGTAGCATACATAGTATAGTAGAAATATCTTTACTCAGGAGAGTCCAGATTCTGGATCTGACTCTGCTACCTGGGCAAGCTCTTGAATTTCTCTGAGTCTCAGTTCCTCCATCTGCCTCCCTTTCCTGCCTCACCAGGTTGTGAATGAGAATTAAACAATTCTCTCTACTAATGCAGATGAGTAAGTCCCTTGTAATTTACAGACTTTAACTTATAGACTTAGAGTCACCAAGAAATTATAACTTGCCCATGATCCCACAGCTAGTACGTGTCAGAGGCACTTAGGTCTTTTTCATTCTAAAGCTGGTCTTCTATCTATTGCACCCACCACAGTACTGCTTATAAATAGGGATAATGTAAAAAATTTAAAGTAAGGCTAAATTCTCCTTATAGAAAAAAAAAAGTTCATCCTCTCCCTCACTAAATCTTTTGCTAAGAACAATTCTAGCTACTTTGAACTTCTAATAGAGAACCTAACTTAATAATTACCAACTCTGATTTTGTGTTAGCCTAATGTATACAGTTATCTCAAAAAGTTTAATGAACTGTTACAGAAATTCACAAATTTAGTTTCAGTATATATTCACACATACACACAACAACAACAACTAGACAGTATTTTTAATGGAGGGCTGTATTACCAAATCAACCAGACACTGTTAGAATGCCCCAAATTCCCTGAGGTTGAGGCTTTCTAGGTTGCTAGTAGTGAAAACAGTTGTTGAGAATTGGTAGGCAAGTTCACTCACTGGGTGTTAGTCTCTAAATCATTGAAAGTTGATTCTACTACAGTTAATTTTTTTTAGTATCATTAATACAGCACCTCATATACATATTATCATCAATAACTATTCACTCTGGGTAAATGTAAACTTATTGATCATATAATTTTCAGGTTTTGAGATTTAAAAAAATACTCAGAGTACTATAATGTCAGATGCTTTTTCAGTGTGACTTTTGCCATAGCCAGAATGTTCTAGGTCAGAGATTCTTTATCAGTTTTGTGTCATGGGCCCCTTTGACAAAGTCTGATGAAGCCTATGGACCCTTCCTCAAAATGACGTTTCTAAATGCCTAAAACAAAATATATGATTACAAAGGAAGTCAATCATATTGAAATAAAATTATCAAAATATATTTTTAGAAGTTCACAGACCCTAGGTCTAGACCCCCTGAACTAAGGTGGTCCATGCCCCCCAAAACAAACCCAATAAGCTATACCCCTGATCCTTTTCCCCCCCACAGCTAGCTTATATCTTGATTTCTTCATTTTGGGGCTTCATTTTTGGCCTAATTAGAAGGGAAAGATGTGTGTGTATGTGTGTGTAGGGAGTACCAGGAGTAAAGGGTAGGGGCTTCAACAATTGTCCAAAACAGAGTCTAGTTCCCAACTTGGAAGACCCCAGGGTGGGCTGATTAGTTCTAGATTTTCTTCAAGGGACTACAGTACTTTTGTCATTATAATGACAGGATGATGGGGATTGTGATGTATCCTGTGGTCATTCAGTATATTCCAGCAGATACCAAAATGCTTTATAATCTTAAATACAAAGTTCCAAATGAAATACTGAACAAGTACTAATGTGTACTACTTTTATAGTGTTCTTAAGTGTAGAAAATGTCCTGTGGATCTTTTTTCTTTATATATACAGTGCTCAAATGTACTGCTCCATCTTCTACAAAAGAGAGTCAACCACTAAAGTCAATTTTCATTTTCCATAAACATTAACCTGTAATGTATATTACTACTGCCTTCATTTCTATGTCTGAATACATGGTACTGCAAGCATCTACAATATAAAGTTGACAATTTACATTTCAGAAACAAGTGAACAAAAAGGATTTCAAAGACTCGTTTAAACTTCTCCATCCTCCCGACTCTTCTCCCCTATATAAGTATCAATGTTTGAAATTTCTTTGTTTTCCATGTTAGTGGCTTGGACAATAAGTGTTCTGTGTATCCCCTGACTTTTGACAAAAATGAAAATATGGCCGCCAAAAAGAAGTCTGTTGCAATGCATACCAACTACCTTTCAGCCTGCAGTTTCACCAACTCGGATATGCAGGTAAACAATCACTCAGCTGTCATAGATTTGCCATTGCTTAACCTTGCAAGCATCAGCCATGTGCAGAACAGCAGGAAATGCAGAGATGGGGACTACATAGGTGGTCCTCACTGAAAGGAAAAGATGTAGTGATTGTGTGGTTCTGTGTGTTCTGACAAGGTTTTCTCCTGGAACAGAAATTCACAGAATCTGAGGTCTGTGAACTTGTTTTTGTCTTTAAATTTTGATAACTGTATTTTGTATTATTAATATTATTTGTAATGCTGTGTGTTTTGTTTTGTTTTTGCATTTAAAACATGATTCTGAAAAGCACTCCCTAAGCCTCACCAGACTCTGCCAAAGAGACCCATAACACACACACCCACACACAAAGATTAAGAACTCCCATTTTAAAGGAATTTCTGTTCTCCTTTGATTGTCTTCATTACTTCAAGAATCAGTGAACTCACTGAACTGGATATTCTTTTAACTGATGTATATTGCTACCCTTCCATGCCTGAGATAGTTTTTAAGTTTCTGTTACTCAGTTTCAAAGGACTCATGATGAAACAAACAATAGGTAGGGGAGAGGGAAGAGGAGGAAAGAAGAGAATTTGGAACTGAAAACAAAAACAAAATAAAATTTAATTTTTAAAAAAATGTGTAAAAAATTTGAACCCTCAAAAGAAAAAGAGCTGCTGTGACTTCCCCTCTCCCCAAAATTCGTCAAAATTTAACCTGCAGACCACTATGTACAAACAAGACATATGGCTATAGATAAGTGAGAGATTGGAGGCTGCTATTGTTTGTCCTTCATTCTCAAAGAGGGCCATGACATCAGGGAGGTGATGCCGTGACATGCAAGTGAACTGGATTTAAGTGAAGGAGGGCTTGCAAAGTCACCAGCCTCCCTTTCTCCTCTAGAGCCATCTTGGTCCAGTGGTAAGATATAGACCAGGGCTACTGGAGATGGCCCCAAATGTAGGGTAATCTCAGAGGGAAGGCACTAAGATTAAAGAGAATTGCAAAGGCTTCTTGCAGAAGGTGAGATGTTATCTGGGACTTGAAGGAAGCCAGGGAAAGCAGAAGGTGAAGTTAAGAAAGGAGAGCATTTCAGACACGGGGACAGTTGATGAAAAGGCAAAGAGATGGAATACTGTATCTGAGAAACGGCAAAGGAAGCCAGTTATCACTGGCTCATAGAAAATTCTCACTTTAAGATAAAACATTTAAAATCCTCAAAGTACTGAAAATGCTGAAAATAATTTGCATTAAATTAGGCCCTTCTTTACATACTTCTATATTCAAAAGAAGGCGAAAACTAAAAGTACTGAAAATGTAATACAGCTTTAGCAAATTGTTTTTAGTTGAGCTCAAATCATCTTACTACCTTTGATTTTTATGTCAGTGGTAATGTTTTTATAATTTTTCCCATCACTTGGCATGAGCAACAGCATATTTAAGTAGATAGAAAACCCACCCTGAGCCAGGACAAGATGGATTCAGGTCCCATTTCTGACACATGCTTTTTGTGTGGCCCTGAGCAAGTCACTTAACCACACTCATTGCTCCAATCAATTCAATGATTATAAATTGCAGAAAAGATAATCTGTATTCATAGAGGTTGTTACTTCTCCAGGAGTTTCTTTCATTGATAAAATCAGTGACCCAAACAAATCAAAACACAAATTTACCGACCTCTTTCTGAGAGAAAACATCCTGCCTATAACACCCACAATGGGTTACAATATTTTTGGATGAAAGAAAAGAACAGCACCTAAAGTTAAAGACCCAAATAATTCAAACTCTCCTTGCTTAGCAGCAGATTCATTGATGACCAATCAGTAGATTTTAGTGGTGTTGACTTCTCTGTTGCGCAAAATGTTTATTGGTTGGCTTGTGTGGGAACCTGAGGAAGATCATTTTACCACTTGTGGGTTGAGCCTGTCAAAGTGTGAATCATTGCTGGATTTTAGCCAGTTTAAAATATATTTAGAAGAGTTGGCACCACAGCTGGCAGCAATAATAGGAAGAAAGTGAAGAGAGTAAGAAAGTGACATCTGACTAAGTACCATGAGTTAAGGGAAGGGGTGCTGACCGGCTGGGGAAACTTGTGACAGTTCCTGAGTATTAGATTGAGTTAAGGAAATTTCTGTAGAAATTTATAGTAGCACTGAATTTCAGAGTTGAGAGCGTCCTTAGAATTTGTCTAACCCAGCGGGTACTTGAACAAGAAATCCAGCTGCTCCGCCCTAATGAGCATTCATGAAGCCTTGGCTTAAAGACTTCCAGTGAGAGGTAGCTCACTACCCCTTTCAAGCCAGTTTGTTCTACTTAGGGACAGTTCTAATTGTTACAAAGTCTTTTTTGGTTACATTGAGCCTAAGTCAGTGAGTTAGAAGGACCAGGCCCTACCTTGGGATTGGTTCTGATAACAGGAATCATAAAACCTGAGCAAAAGAATTCTCCTTTGAAAATTTGCCTAGGATAGAAAACTCCAAGCGTTCACCTGTCCATTACTATAGCTACAGTGAAGAGGAAGAGATAAAAGGAAAAGAGAACACACTGTGTTGGGTGACCTTTTTAAAGTGCTTGTTGGCCATTCCAAGAAGTTTTAATTTTATGGAAATCATCCAATTTTCCACATATTTGAGAGCAAGAATAGGAAATTAGTAATTAAGTAAACATAGGCAGCGTGGTAAAACTGGAAAGAGTATTGAATTTAGAGTCAAAAGACCCAGGTTCAAATCCCAATAGGTGTTTACATTTTGTGACCTTGGGAAGTTACTTAACCTCTCTATATTTTGGTTTCCATATAAAGGATATTCCAAAAGTCATAGTGTAGCTTTATGCTTTAGTAGCTTAAAAGTCTTTTGAGAACACATATATGCTGAATATACTCATATTCCACATACATATACATATTAAGTAGCTACTGTGTATGAGCAAAGTATTGCTAGGTGTTAGACAGGATGAAAAAAATTAAATGTCACGACATCCCGTGAATGGGAATATATCAAAGTTTCCTCATCTGTAAAATGTCTCCCCAAAGTCCCTGACAGATATAAATCTATCAACTTAAATTAGACTAAAAAAATAGAGCATAGAACAAAATATTCATACCAGAACTGAAAATAGAATTCAACTTTAGTAATTTAATTAAGTTTCTATTTCTTTCATCAGCCCCAAGACATTTTACCAGAAGTTTATAGACCTCCAGGGGCAAGTCTAGACTAGAATGAGTCATTTGGAATTGAATCCAGACCTAACTTTTTTTGGAGTAGTTTTCAAGCTCTGGAGCCAGCCTGAGGTTTGAAAATATGGTCATGTGCTACTTAGCAAACTTCTAGTCCTATTTTCTCAAACTGCCAAACCTAATGAACTATTGCATGATGCCTGGTTGAACTGGGTTGGCTCTTAAAGGCCCCAGAGTAGCTGCTAACGGTGGTTTCTCTTCTTTATGCCCTTTTCAGGATGCATTTACCAGGTGCCCAGTACTCTGGTAATGGCACGGGCAGAAGAGGAAAGGAAAGGAACAATAATCTCTCTTTCCTTACAAAAAAGAAGAAGAATGAGATCCCTTATTTAACGTGCTGACTGTGAATATGTGTGTGTGTGTGTGTGTGTGTGTGTGTGTGTGTGTGTGTGTGTGGTATAGTGTAATGTGAAAACTACACATGAAAAATTAAACTAGGGGCAGCTAGGTGGTGCAGTGGATAGAGCTCTGGACTTGGAGTCAGCAGGACCTGAGTTCAAATCCAGCCTCAGACAATTGACACATACTAGCTGTGTGACCTTGAGGAAGTCACTTAACCCCAATTGCCTAAGCAAAAAAAAAAAATTAAACTGATTTCAAAGTAAAATTTAACTTTTGAAAAGTTAGAGATATATGGTGTTCACTTTATAGGGATTATAATAATAACTGATAAATCATTTCAGAGTTTTCACAGTGCTTTATCATTTCATTTGAACCTCATAATAACTCCATGAGATAGGTAGTACAGATATTATTATCCCCATTTTACAGATGAAGGAAACTGAGTCCCTAAGCTAAGTGAATTGCTTATGGTCACATAGCCAATGAATGTCCAGGGGAATTTGAAACTAAGTCTTCCTGACTCCAAGCTAAACACCGTTTTGATCATTTCTCTAGCCAATTTCGAATGTGCTCTGGAGATGATTGTAGAAAGGTGGGTGGAGGTGGAGAGAGATTTATCCATTGGTTAGGATGTTAAAAGGGATGCCCTTCCAACTGTAGGATGCATTCCATGGCATATAGGATGAATGCTACATGTCATGTGTGAGAAGGTCCAGTGCTTCTATTCTTTCCATTTCTCTTAGCAGTGGAATGTTTGTTATTCTATTCACTTGTTTCCCAGACATAGACAGCGAGATATCTATGCCCGAGAGTCTCCAGTTGTCTAACACTGTTGTGAGCTTATGGAGGGTTTTCTTCAGTTCAGTCTATAACTGTTGTCATTTGAGATCAAATTGAACTCATAGATGGATTCTGATGGAAAACCTAGCGGTAGCAAACCTTCTCCCAAACATTCAGTCCCACTTCCTTCACCAGTATCCAAAAGCAGCTCAGGCCCTCTTCCACAGCCACCTGGGGTAAAAGCAGGCAAGCTGCTGCCTCAGCTGCTGTCAGGTTGTTGGCATAGGAGTAGGAGACAAAGATAGTGTCCTTCATGGGCATGGTGGGCTTAGGGCTACAGCCCAAGCAGCCCCTGTACAGCTTGGGAGCCCAGAAAAGGAGTTGATAAGCTCTGGTTCAAGGTCAGGAAGTCAAAGATCTAGTAGCCTCCAGATAGGTCTGATGCAACAAATTATCTGGAGTGAGCCAAGTTTTTGGAAACTCCAGAGCAGGATTTTAAGGATCATAGATCAAGAACTGATAAGGACCTTAGAGCCATTTAGACCAGCCCCACTTCTTTTACAGATGAAGAAACTGAGGCCCAAAGAGGTGATATACTTTACCCAATGTCCCATAAGTAGTGTCAGAGATGGGCTTTGAACCTTAGTGCCTTAACCCCAAATTCATTGGTTTTTTTTCCTCTGTACTATGCTGTTTTTAAGGAGAACCAGCTTTTTTTGTTAGTACCTCAAACATTTTGTTTATCACTAAAAATAACTTGATATTAGTCATAACAACAGTATTTTTGTCCTTTTCTTGTTGGGCAGATCTTGACTGCAAGTGGGGATGGGACCTGTGCCCTATGGGATGTGGAGAGTGGGCAGCTTCTCCAGAGCTTTCACGGACATGGAGCCGATGTTCTTTGCCTGGATTTGGCACCTTCAGAAACAGGAAACACCTTTGTGTCTGGGGTGAGGCTCTTAAAATAAATGGATACCTGTCTCCAGGGAATGTGAACATTAAATAAGGACCATGGGGACATTTTTCATAAGGGAAGACTCGGCTGACCAGGGGCTTGCTATCTGGATAAGTGACTCTTCACCTGAGTTAGGTGAGAGAAAAACTCAAAGATTCTAGACAAAAGGAGAGAGAGGCAGAAAGGCTGAGAGTAAGGTTACCAGACCCTTCTTCTCATGTTTTTATAGTATTTTGTAACCAAACACTGTAATCTACTGTTTTAGTGAACATTACCCAGTAAAAAGTCTATGAGTGTGGGTCCCATTCTCTACTATTCCTTCTTTCTTACATTTTCAGGGGATCATACAGATTTTCTGGAAAAGTTCCATACTTAAGATATATCCTGTGGGTTAAAGCAAAAATCTTAGTGGGCTATTTTTTTTTCTTAAATAAAAAGCTAGTCAGAGACAGTGAGGTGGCGCAGTGGATAGAGCTCCAGCCTTGAAGTCAGGAGGACCCGAGTTCAAATCTGGCCACAGACACTTGACACTTACTTGCTGTGTGACCCTGGGCAAATTAAACCCAATTGCTTCACAAAAAAAAAATAAATTAAAAGCTAGTCACAGCAGAGCATCAGTGAGTAACTAAAAGACCAACATCCCTTTTCTGAGGATCAAGAGAACAAAGAATACATGACTGAGCCATGTGATATGAACAACACCCAAGGACCTGTGAAAACACCAAGAAGTTGAAGGGTTCATCAAGGGTCACAGTATAATAGACACAGAGGGAGTATAGTGGCTGTAGGGGAACTTGGGGAGACAATGTGGTATAGTAAAAGAAAGGGGGAATTTGGAAATAAGAGAACCTGATTCTAGGCTCTGCTCAGCCACTAACTATTTGAAGACAACTTCTCTGGACCTCAGGCTCCTCAGCTACAAAATGAAGTAGTTGAAAAAGGGAGAAAAAATGAAATAATATATTTACTGCACTTGCAGATGTTTGGGTTTTTTTTCTGTTAGGCAGCTAAGAAGAACAATTAGGGACAAGTTATGTTTACATTAATCTTCTATAAAAGAAAAAAAACAGTTTGGGGGAAAAAATTAAGATAAAAATGACAGATAAAAAACTTGGTGCCAGGCAGCTAGGTGGCACAGCAGATAGAGCACTGGCTCTGGAGTCAGGAAGACCTGAGTTCAAATCTGGCCTCAGACACTTAACATTTACTAGCTATGTGACCCTGGGTGAGTCACTTAACCCCAATTGCCTCACCAAAAACAAACAAGCAAACAAATAAAAAACAAAAACAAAAAAAATGGTGTTTAAAATTAAAAGAATTTTTAAACTTTTACAAAGATCTGATTTTGATGCTTTTAGAACTCTTATAATTTGGAAAATGTACCTCCATATTGTGGAAACAAATTGGCATTGAAACCAAGGCAAAGGGGCAGCTAGGTGGCACAGTGGATAGAGTACCAGCCCTGGAGTGAAGAGGACCTGAGTTCAAATCCAGCCTCAGACACATAACACTCACTAGCTGTGTGACTCTGGGCAAGTCACTTAACCCCAATTGCCTCACCAAAAACAAAAAAACAAAAAACAAGGCAAGAGTTTCCTAACATCAGAGTTCTAGAAATAGTAAGAAACTTGGAAGCTGCATGATTAAAAAGGAAAAGAGAGAGCTTATTGAATTAAGCTGCAACTTTTCTTACTAGTCATCTTTGCATTGCTTTAACTAATGATTAAATCTCCATGAGACAAATCAATCGATTTGACTGATTTTTTTTCTCCATTCAGTCATCCTAATTTTCTTGGAGAGACAGCCATTTTATATATTGTTTCATATATTTGGTGGTTATCATGTACTCATTTGTAAATCTATGAAGTAATAATACTTCAGAAATCTGTGGGTGCTCCCAACAACACAGGCCCCAATCCCTCTATAGCTTGGTACCCCATCTTCAAGAAAAGCTATGATAAACCTGGGTATGAGCTTCACTGAACTTAACTTGGCTGGTCCTCGTACAAGAGATAGAGAGGGGCAGCTAGGTGGTGCAGTAAATAGAGCGCTGGCCTTGGAGTCAGGAGGATCTGAGTTCAAATCCATCCTCAGACACATGACACTTACTAGGTGTGTGACCCTGGGCAAGTCACTTAACCCCAACTGCCTCATCAAAAGAAAAAAAATCAAGCAAAAAAACAAACAACAAAGAGATACACAGAGTGCCAGTGTGCCCATATTTGAGCCTTTCTAAGTGGTAAGGCATGTCAGGGCCTAAACTCTATTGGCAAGGCCTTCTGGAACCTAGGGTCATTTCTATGTCATGATGAAACATGAGAGTAGTACCTTTGTGAGAGATCGATGATGAGAGCTGATATTTATGGAATACTCTTCCAGTTACCAAGTGCTTTGCCTACATTATCTTATTTAATTCCTTTGAACCGGAAATGGGGGGAAATGAGGGACTAGAATAGTTCCTGGACCCCTGATTGTCTTTGCCTTTTTGGCTATGGGAAGGTGAGAGGGAGGGGGAGGAAAAGGTTCAAAGGGGAGAAGAAATAGGTAGGAAGGGGTCTCTGCAATAGTTTCTACCTCCTCTGAAAAGGGAAAATAGAATTAATAGAAAATAGGATTAGTAGAAATAGAAAACAGAAATAATAACAAAATGATCCAAATGCCACTTCTCTCTTATACCTCAAAGCCACAAGCTCTGCTTTCTTAAAAAAAAAAAATCAGACATATTCTTTGCTCCCCAAAAGCTTATTTAATTGAAAATGATTGCCTTATATCAAATTTGTACAGAAAAAATCTCTTTATTTTATAGGGGAAAGGAACTGGACCTCTGGTTTAATTAGAATAAGGACTCCCCCAACCAATTCAGATTAGCACCTTCTCTGCAACTTAGTCTTAGAGATTTGCCTAGATCACCAAAATTTGAAGCAACTCAACCAGCTTCACACAGCCAGTATATATCAGAGGCAGGTCTGCAACCCAGATCTTCCTAGCATCAATATTAGTCCTTGATCCATTAGGTCAGGATATTGGTTCACTTTACTGAAGAAATATGAGGTGTTTAGATAGTATTAGCCAACGTGGTATTAAGTCATATTCCATAGTTATGTTGCATGTTAAAATTTACAAAGTATTTTTCTCACAACAGCTTTGTAAAGTAGAAAGTGTTACAGTTACTACAGTTATTATGTTCACTTAGCAAATAAGGGAATTGAGACTCAGAGAGGATGTGCCCAGGACCATGGGAATAAGAATTGGTCAAGCTAGCGCTTGAACGCAAATCATCTGGTTCCACATCCAGTAGTCTTTTGATGCATCATGCCTACGTTTCTTTTCCATTCCATTCCCTTACCCTTATTGTCCTTTTAGGCATACAACTCAGAATAACTTTCTTATTTCTAGGGATGTGACAAAAAAGCCATGGTTTGGGACATGCGCTCTGGCCAATGCATCCAGTCATTTGAAACACATGAATCTGATATCAACAGTGTCAGGTTAGTAAATTACTATATGTCTTACATCTATATTACATTTTCTCTACTTTGCTCTTTTTTCAGAATATGGATAAATTGAAACTGAAAGGGCAGTTGGACATAATATCCACAAGACCTTGAAGGGAAGATTTTTTCCCCAAAAAATAAGCCTCATTGTTATTCTGCCCCTTAAATTGTGTTTATGTGACACAAGATTATAAACAAAAATACAAGGAGAAGAGTAGATACTAGGTAAAGAAAACAACCAGTTAACAATCTGAATTCTCTTTTGATTCTTTGCAAGGCATTGATATTTGAAGAGGGGGCAGACAGAGGCACAGATAATGATGATGATGATGATGATGATGATGATGATGATGATGATGATGATGATGATGATGATGATGATGATAATGATAGCATTTACATAGCACCATAAAGTTTGGGAAGCACTTTACAAATATTTTCATACAGAGTCATACAGTAAGTTTATGGGGCTTCATTTGAACTCAGGTCTTCCTGACTCCAGACTCAGTTTCTATCCACTGTGTCACCTGGCTGTCATAATAATACTATCAAGCATAAGTGGTGGGATAAGTTAATAGGAGTGTGTATGATGTGATGGGTTAGAGAGAGTGGACAATTTGCAGGAAGGTAAGAGAAGGTAAACACTGAGCAAGAAGGAATTGGTAGATCATTATTCCAGAAAGATCAATAAGTCTGTTTTCATTGTCCTGTAATGATAAGGTGGTTGGTTGACCAAATATTCTGCTGTTCAACTGGTTATTTGGAAGCATATTACCTGTCCAGAGAGTGGGTGGGTAGGGGAAATACAGTGAATGGTCAGTGACACAACTACAGAATGCTAGTATATTCACATTTCTTACATCCCAACTTTAGGGAAAAGGACTTGTTTTTAACCAAACATGCCAAAACTTATACATTAAAGTACACATTGTCCCCTCCAGAGGAATCCCCAGGACTGTTCATACATTATTCTACTGGGGCTCCCATGTTTGAAACACCACTTGGGGGGGGGAGGGGTTGCATTCTTTTTTTATATCCTTAGGTGAATTTGATTTTTTTAAATGGCCACAAATTATTCAAGCCTTATAAAATGGGTGAGCAAGCTGGGTGGTGTTAGTTTTGGTCAAGTCAAGATGTGACTACAAAGTAATGGATCCGATTTGGCCAATAAATTACCTCTAAAAATAATTTCAGTGAAAGAATCCCAGACAAACATGTTTTGAACAAAGGCAATATCATTAGAATAAGTATGATGTGGGTACTTGGAAAAGACAAAACTCATTTGGATATTCAAAAATTCTAGTATTCCCCTCTATCAGCTTCCTTTGTAAAATAGCTTCATTACCTATATACAATTTGCATATAATTTTTTCATCAGAGCTTTCTTTCTCTAATAACTCTCAGAGAAGTGGTATGACTTAGTATATTAGGTAAAAGTAAGCAAATGAACAAAAAAACTCAGACCCAATTAACTTGACAGCATGGTGCTGCAATAGCACAATGAATGTCATGTTTACTAAGACTCAGTGACATTACCCCATTAACAAACTTCTGGTTGATGTAAATGCCATATTGTGTTCCAAACACGTCAGGATCTCCAGGGATTCTGGCCAACTAAAGCCTCATCTGTTGCCCTCTCTTCTGACAAGTACAGTTTCAGGATGGTTCATTATAACATAAGAAATGATATCTGGGGCACTTGGGGGATTCTGGGAAGATGGCAGAGTAGGTCAGAAAATTCCAAACTCTCCAGATTTCCTCCACAAATGAGACAAAATAGCACTTCAGGGTGAATGTAGAGCAGCAAAAATAACAAGAGTTGGTGCAGAACAGTGGTCCTGCCAGAACAACCGGAGAAGAGGAGAGGAAAGACCCCAGGGATGAAGGTTTGGCCTGAGTGAAATGCAAATATCTCCAGGCTATCTCCACAGAAACAACAAACAAGGAGCCCAAGGACAGCTGAGTTGGGAGGTAGCCTCAGCCCAAGCCACAGGAATTCTCACCTCACAGACAGGGTAGGGAGTCAGACATCCAAGGAAGGGAAGATTAAAGTTGCCAAGGGATGCCAGGCCCAGCTATGCTGCCAAGCCACAGTCCCATCCCAGGCTGCAGCTGAAGCTGAGAAGGAACCAGCACATACCAGGTGAGTGCAGAAGCGGTGGGGCAGGGACGCTGCTAGCTATGGGCACTTACGGGAGAGCTGAGTTCCTGGTTTCAGTTCTAGGCCAGAGGGGAGAACTGAAGATTACAGCCACTGAAGGGTTCTCAGGGAGCAAAAGTACTTCCAGCATAGTGTGTCTGGGGGCCCTAGCCATGGCTTGGAGGGGGAATGGAGTGCTGAGATTGGGCCCTAGACAAAGCTCAGAAAATAACAGTAAGAAAGACCTGAGGCCAGAGGCACCATCTCCCACACCCCAGGACAGGAGATGATTATAATAAGCTGCTATAAATGAATGAATGAAATGAATAAGCAAAGGAGAAAGAACTTAACCATAGACAGTTACTATGGGAATAGAGAAAACTGGCGTTCATTTTCAGAGGAGGATACTGAGGCGAAAAAAAAAAAGCCTTTCCTACTCCAAGGAGTAATGTCAAATGATCACGTCCCCAAAAAGAGTTCTTGGAAGAACTTTAATAGGACTTTTAAAATCAAATAAGAGAGATTGAGGAAAAATTAGGGAAAAAAATACAAGAAAACCAAGAAACTATGAAAAGAAAGTCAACCAACTGGAAAAAGAGATTCAGAATCTTCAGAAAGAAAACAACTCCCTGAAAACTAGAATTGGCAAGGAGAAGTAAATCATGTTATAGGCTACAAGAAATAATAAAGCAAAATAAAAAGAATGAAAAAGTAAAAGAGAATGTGAAACATCTCATAAGAAAAATAACTCATCTGGAGAATAGATCAAGAAGAGAAAACAGAAGAATTATCTGACTACCTGAAAGCTATGAGCAGAAAAAGAATCTTGATACAATATTACAAGAAATAATTAAAGAAAATTGCCCTGAAGTTTTAGAACAAGAGGGGAAAGTAGAAATAGAAAAAATCCACCAATCACCACCTGAAAGCTATCCCAAGATGAAAATCTACAGAAATATCATAGCCAAATTTCAAAAACTCCACGTTAAGGAGAAAATATTACCAGCAACAAGAAAAAACAATTCAAATACTGCAGAGCCACAGTTAGAATTACACAAGATCTTGCCCCTACTACCCTAAAAGACCACAGGTCTTAGAACACTATGTATTGAAGAGCAAAAGAACTGGGGTTGTGGCGAATAATAACTTACTCAGCAAAGTTAAGTGTATTCCTGAATGAAAAAAAAATGGATATTCAATGAATTGACAGACTTTCAGGTTTTTGTCACAGAAGACCAGAACTTAATGGAAATTTGACATATAAGATCCAGGAGAAATATAAGGTAAACATCAAAGACCAATTACAAGAGATTCAATAAGGTCAAACTGTTTACTTTTTATATGTGGAAATGTAAACCTTATTTGTAAGACCGTCATTAGTAATTGGGGATGAGCTGAATATGATATGGTCATTCTAAGAAGCAAAATTGTGTAGGAAAAGGTAAAAAGAGCAATTATCTCATGCAAATGAGGTGCAAGAGGAAGAACTGGTACAGAGGAATTGGGTAGGGTGGAAAGTTGGTAGTACTGGAAACCTCCTGTCATCAGATCTGGGTTAAAGAGGGAACAACATATACATCCAGAAGGGTATAAAGTCTTCCAAATTTATAAAGAAATAAGAGGGTGAGGAAACAAGATAAGGGGGGGGTGGTAGAAGAGTCTGTAGATTAAGATTTAGGAGGGTAGGGGGAGAAGAAAAGGAGGGACCCTTAGAGGAGTGGGCAGAATAAGAAAAAGGAGATTTATGGGAGAGGATAAGGGAGATAATCTTTAAAAGGCTGTGTAATAGGGAGGTAGTGGTTAGAAGTAAACTAGAGGAAGGATAAGGTAAAAAGAGAGGCTGAGGACAATAGTGAGGAAAATTAGGATGGAGGGAAATACACAAATAATAATTATAACTTTGAATGTGAATGAGATGAATTCACCCATAAAATGCAAACAGAGAGAAGAATGGATTAAAAATCAGAATCTGATAATATGCTGCTTATAAGAAACACATTTAAAAATGTGAGACACACACAGAGTTAAAATAAAGGGCTGAAGCAGAATGCATTATGCAGTGGTAGCAATCATGATATCACACAATGTCAAAGCTAAAATAGATTTAATTAAAAGAAAGGGGCAGCTAGGTGGAACAGTGGATAGAGCATCAGCTCAACACTTGACACTTACTAGCTGTGTGACCCTGGGCAAGTCACTTAACCCCAATTGCCTAAAAATAAATTTTTTTTAAAAAGAGATAAATAGGGAAGCTACACTATGATAAAAGGTACCATGGACAATGAAGCAATGTCAATACTAAACTTATATGCACCAATTTATCTAAATTAGTGGCTGGGGCTTCAGAAGGTTTAACCTCTTCTGTTGGAGCTGCAGGTGCCTGGGCCTCAGGGGTGGATCCAGGGGCTTCTCTTGCTCCTGGAGTCTCTTTGGAAGAAAGTGTGCTGCTGCTAGGTCTTGAGTCTGAAGCTGGAGCTACTTTACTTTTAGTTTCTTGTGCAATGGGAGCTGGAGGAGCCTCAGTCTCCTTGGCTTCCCCTTCCTCTTTGTTCTTGTCATCCACTTCACTAGCTGCAGTGGCTCCTGATGACAGGAAGACCTTTGCCTCACTCAGTGCTAGGCTCTGAAATCTTAAGTGCTTTACCACCAACTCAGAGACAAGAGGCAGGAACGTACCCAGCCAGCTTCTCAGACTCTTGCCTCTGAGCTTCTTCTTTGCTGGCCACTAAGTCCTTCTCTGCTTCCTCGTCTTTTGTCTTGTTAGCAGTGACCTGGGAATCTTTGCCACTCTTCTCTTTGTTGTTCTTCACCACTATGGCCTCGGCTGCCGAGTCTCATCATTCTCCTTGAGAGTCTTCTACTTCCTTCAGCCTTCTTGACTTTGTCTTTAGTTTTCTCATCATTTACATTGTGCTCCTCCTCCTCTTTGGAGTCTTGGAGTGTGTGTGTGTGTGTGTGTGTGTGTGTGTGTGTGTGTGTGTGTGGTGTTCTGGTGTCATCAAGAGAGCCCTAAGGAGAGCCCAAGCCTTGGGTCCGCTTGGCTGGGACTGAATGGTGCAGTGTTTTTCCCAGGTTTGAGAGAGGAGACTGGACCAATGGGGAACCTGTTGGAACAATGCTGCCTCTACTACATAGCTTCCTATCTTGTGTAATTATGTTCCATTTCTTCCCATAAATTCTCACAAAGGATCAACTCAGTGTGACACTCTCCCTTCTCAACTCCTACTGACCTTCCTGGCTTCCTTTAAGTCCTAACTGGAATCCCATCTTTTACTGGAAGCCTTTTCTAACACCTCTTAATTTTAGGGCATTCCCTTTGCTAATTATTTTTTATTTAACCTGCATATAGCTTGCTTTGTATGTGTAAAGAAGGGGTGAAATGGGCTCTACATGTGCAGAAAGGCTCCAATACTTTTTTTGCATGTTGACTTCCTCATTAGATTGTAAGCTCCTTGAGGTCAGGGACTGTCTTTTGCTTCCTTTTTGTATCCCCAGAACTTAGCAAAGTACCTAGCACGTAGTAGGTGCTTAATAAATATTTATTGATTGATCGATTTCTCCAGTTCTTTGAACATCTCAGAGGTATTAAATGTAACATCTAAGCTTTCCACATATTGTCTGTAATTCTTATTACATGACTAGCCCATCTCATTTTCCAGACATACAAATATGTAGCTGTGTATGTATGTGTGTATGTATGTATATATCTTTGATAGTTGCATTTCCTGTCATTTCTAATGCACCAATCATCACTGGAAAATTGCTATGGCCAGGGGTGTGCTGGTATATGCTTAACAACCATTTTGGCGTCAGAGGGAATGTACCCACAACATTTAATCTGCATTATTAATATTTTCCTGATATTAATGTAATATTATTATTTTAATATGATTAATATTTAATATTTTCTCCATCACTTTCTTAAGTCTAGAAATCAATGAAACAATAAATTAAGCCTTAATTTGTAGCATTTGCTGATTTCCAAAAGTTCAAGAATGTTCACACTGAAAATTTAACAACTGCTTCTCATGAGCTGATTCAAACTGACTTCAGCACCCTCCTGGCTATACCCTACCGCCATCTATTTCATATCTTTCCATTTCCCTGTGGAATACCTGCAATTGTGATATTCTATGATCATTATTTGTAACCAAATAACCACAAAGCACATGTAATATAAAAGATACAATAGTGATAGGGACTAGATTTGAGATATCACTGATACAGTGAACTTCTGGATGAGAACTCCCTCTACCAATACAGATTGGCACCTTTTCTGAAGCTTGTAGTCTTACAGAGTTCCCTAGAATACAGAGAAGCTAAGTGACTTTTCCAGAATCACACAACAATGTCTCAGAGGTAGGTCTTAAACCCAACAGATTTTCTAGGTTCCAAGGCCAGCTCTCTAACCACTAAGCTACTCTGCAAAATGAGATACAAATAATGACCTAGCTCACAAGGTTGAAAGAAATGCCATCAACATGAAATTTCACACATCAAAAAGGTACTACAAAAGTACACAATGACAATTTTATAACATGCTCTGCCCGCCATATTGCATGGTGATTTCTGTAGAATGATTTTGCAACTACAACTTTGTCTCCTACAGATATTATCCCAGTGGAGATGCCTTTGCTTCTGGTTCAGATGATGCTACGGTATGTTTCCAAGTTACTGAATATTTGCTTTTGAAAGAGAGAATTATGTCAGTACAGTTTTCCAAGAAGAAGAAAAAAATATGCTTTCTAAAGCTCCTTCTCAGACAGTGGGAAAAGATAAGAGTTAATTTGTTTTGCGTTATACTTCTTTGTGAGAAAGGAAGAGTTCTTGGCAAGGAAGCAGGTTATGTGTCATTGAAAAGTAACAGTAATTTTTTTAAGTCAATGAAATATTTATATTTTTAAAAAAGGAAGTACATGCAAGATCCCAAGAATTATTTATACCTTGAGAACTCCTTGATGTTTATACTTTCATGGAACCCACTGCCTATTTCCCGTTGATAATGAGAATTTATAGGAAAATTTGAAAGATGAAATCTGAAGGGAAGGGGAGGGGAGAGGGGAAGAAGAAGAGATAAAAGATGACATTCCATTCCAGTCTTTAAAACTGCACAAACCACTTGACTTACCTGTGTCTCCATAAGCCGTGCTTTTTAGAATTACAATCAAAGTAAAAATTATTTTAAATCTCCATTTGAATTACAGTGTCGCTTGTATGACCTCCGTGCTGACAGGGAGGTGGCAATTTACTCCAAAGAGTATTATATTTGGAGCATCCAGTGTGGATTTCTCACTCAGTGGTAAGATCTGATTTCTTAGGACAATGGGCTGTTTTACCTCAGAAACCTTACCAGGTTACTAGGAGAACTAAGTGAGAAGAAATATGGTAAATAGACTATTATCCCCTGCACTCCCTCACGAGTAAGGGAGCACTTCCCAAATGATCTGACATATTGACCCACATCCTTCCTCATTCTCATTTTCTGGGGGAAAAAAAACAAGAAAAAGCTTTTCCCTTGTACAGTTTCCTCTTCTTTCTCTATCTCATTCCTCTTTCCCCCCCGCTACTTCAGCGCTGTAATTGAAATCAATCCATCATCCAGAATTGATGTGCCAGTCATATTGCTAGGTGCTAGAGCTTCAAGAGACAAAAATAAAACAGTCTTTGCCCTTGAGGAGCTTATTACATTCTAGCTCTGCACTGCCTGCAGAAGTTCTCTGAACAGAGAGAATACCTTTTTTTCCTTGCCAGAGCGAATAAAGGGCCTGCATTATCTTTTGTCGTTTCATAAAGGAGTGACGTGTCAAACTTTTCCCACCCATAATCTTTTTTCCCCATTTCCACCACAAACAGACACACAAAATTCATAAGGTGGGTAGAGGACAGAGAACTAAGTATCCCACGTTGGCCATCATAAAAAAGGTTGGGAACAGAGCATTTGCTAGCAACTAGAAGCAGCCTGAGTTTAAGGAAGGAAATAACTCAGCTAGAATTAACCGTCTACCACTCTAAGAGGGGAAATTTAAAATTGGCAGGCAGTAACCTTAAGCAATGTTCTCAAAGGAAGGGAATCAATCTAGGGAAGTCAGGTTGGGAGCAAGCCATTTCCATAAGTTGCTAGGAATTCCCCGAGATTTCCTAAGACTTCTGATTTCTTCCCCCTCCCCACCCCTGCCCTTTGTTAGAGAAATGCTACACTTTGTAATAAATGCTATCCGAAGTCTAGTCAATGAGACTAAATTCAGGATCAGGGACTCCATCATATTTCACCTAAGGGTACATACATTGTGCATAGTAGGGGTAGGGAAGATAATAATCTTGCACAAATAAGCAATAAGTAGTCTGTAAATTGGCTGTTCCCTTGCTTTTGATGGCCTAGAAAACGAACCCCCACTTTAGAAGCTTAATCTCATGGAGCTTCCCAAAGATCCTTCCATGTGAATGTCATTCCCTTTCTAGGTCGCTTGCTGTTTGCTGGTTACAATGATTATACCATCAATGTCTGGGATGTATTGAAAGGATCGAGAGTATCCATCCTATTTGGACATGAAAATAGAGTTAGTACCTTACGTGTTTCACCTGATGGAACTGCTTTCTGCTCAGGATCATGGGATCATACCCTGAGAGTAAGAGTCTTTTTCTTCTTACTTTAGAGATTGGGGGACATGTAGTTCTGTTGGTTGAGGAGGAGAAGAATGCTTGGTCTTCTTAGAATATTCAAAGTAGATTAAAAGACAGAAGCTAGATGGGTCAAATTTTGAGTCCTAATTTCAGCTGTTCTAGAAACCACCTTTAATGACCTTCATTATGCTTCAGTGAAATGAGAACCATGCTTGTTAAGATAGTTAAATGGAACAAGATCAGATTTAATGGTGGGAGGAGGGAAGGAAGGGATGGAGGGAGGAAGGGAGGTCTGTCCCTGGAGCCAAAATTAACAATGGGTAGAAGTTGCAAAAAAGACAATTTAAATTTGATGTCAGAAGAAGTTTTGTAGTAGTTAAAACTACACAAAGGCCAAATAGGCTGCTTGCAGAGACAGTGGGCTGCCCCTCACTGGAAATATTTAAGCAAGAGGTGGTTGACTACTTGTTGGAAGTGTTGGAGAAGGCATTCTTCTTATTCCTTTGTGAGTTGAGCCTGTTGGCTCCCTTCTACCTCTGAGATTCCATAATTCTATGTAGTATATGTAGTAATTAAAATATAAATTATAACATATAACTTATTTCACTTGGTTAAGTATGAAAGTCTTCAGAAGAGTTTTGGAAGCAACAATCATAATCCACTTAAGTGAACTTTTTGTAAAAAGTTCAAGTCTTTTAATGTCATAAACTAAAGACTCTGATTTTTTTTTTCTTTTCAGGTCTGGGCTTAATCTGTAATACGTCTCCTAACAATGCAAGCTAACATATTGGATGAGCTATGGAATCTAATTTGAAATACTCACCTGCAATTTCATATGATGAGGAAACACTTTGGTAGTTGAAACCCATCAAATGTCTCTGTATATCATCTAATATTAATATTTAAAATCTGTCTACTAGAGATTATAAGCCTATACTGCTTTGATAGTATCATTTTGAAGTATAATTCTTTCTACTCTTGATTTTAGCTACCTTTAATTAGAAATTATTTAGACATCTGTAAATTAAGCTTTTCTCTGAAAGCATTCTAAAGACCAAACTTGTCATTTAGCATACCCTATACAATTTGCACTAATTTAATTCATTTTAGAGCAATTTTTTAAAAAATCAGCTACTGATCATATCTGGATACAGCTTGACTCTTGAAAGCTTCCTGTGAAAATTATGGATTTCAGGTAATGAGTTAAAAAGAAAACATTTTGGATGGTTTGTGATGAAGTGTTGTTGGAAGTTTATCCTAAAATGACTATATAGTATCAATTATAAAGAGAAGAGTCTAGTGATGAGGTCCTTCTTATCATTAAGAATGGCCAAAGAATCCTTTCCATCCTTTCTACTTATCTTTTTATAAGAAACAGTTTTCACTAGTGTGAACTGAATTCAATAAACCCCAGACATATATAGGGAGGCATGTGACCTTCATTTGAGGTCCCTGCCTCTACTTGCCCTTCCCCCCTTCTATAAGGGATTGGAGAAAGCCAGAGGGTCCCTTTTCCAAAGCCAGTGACCTGTGTTCCTGTTTGCAAGGAAATAAATAGATCATTAGCTCATGAGAATTTTCATCTAGGGCAAGTGCCAATTCCACACAGTTTCTATTCCTTGCAAAGGTAAAAAGCTTAAAAATACATATTATTAATAAACTTCATAAAGCTCTAAGCCCCTAGACAATCCCCAGGCTAAAAAGGAAGTATTCCAACCAGTTGAATTTGGTGTAGTCAGTTATCCCCAGGCTTCCATCCACCCCTTATCACACTTTCTCTAGCAAAACACCAACTTAGTACACAATTTAAAAATTTATCTTTATCTAGAAATCCATCATTGAAAATACAAATAACCTTCAGCAAAATTTTAAACAGAGCAAAAAAAACCCAGTAATAAACCACGCTGTCCATTGCAATAAAAATGATGGAAGAAACAGAAAGGAATAAGTCTGCAATTGTTCCAGAAGTTTCTTCATGTAGATATCGTTCAGACACTCCCTGCAAGATACTCTTAATCTGATCAACAAACCAGGAAAAGATAGAAGCTTCAGCTGCAAGTCTCAGAGTCAATCTTGGCATCCTTCACCTATTGCTGCTATACAGCTACTGCTCATTATTGTCTCCAACTCTGCATTTCTTTTCAGAGAGATTTAAAAGCTGCCTCTGCATCAGAAAAACTCTACCTCTAGTTCTGATCATGAGATAGCTTCTTGTCTTCTCCATCTGGGGAGAACTACGACTTCTGGATCTTTAGGAAGGATGCCAATCCAAACCTCATCTGAGTGACTATTAGACATGAGTTAGGTAATGCTCTCTTCTTAGGTATTTTTATCCTTTTTGTGCATTTGTTTTCAGTTGAAGAAGATAAGGTCAGTGCTAAGCACTAGTGTGTTTGTGATGCTATTTTCCCCCACAATAATCAAAATATTTTTCTGTAGAAACAGAAAAAAAAGGAAACCTTTAGACTAGTATTAGGTTCATGTTTTTATAAACACAATTTCATTCAGGTGTATTCAGACTATAAAAATTCGATTCATGTGAAGTATTTGTTGAAAGTGAATCATATTAGCTAACAGAGGATTTCTAAATCATGAGTAACTTCCCTGTGTGTTTAGATCTAAATCAATCAACAGTTATTTATTAATTGCTGAGTCCTGGGCATTCAAAGACAAAAAAAAATCTCTCATCAAGATACTTACATTCAATCAGGATTATAAATCCTTCAGATGCTTATTTAAAATATACATAATCCACAAAAGAAGATGAAATACTTTTATTAAATTATCTTCTTTTAGATATTACAGGCATACTGTTTGCTTAAGGAAAAACTCCTCCCAATTGGGCTGGATCAGTCAGCCTTTGAAAATAACCAGTTCCTGGACACCTAAAAATACTGCCTAGGATCTGTGGGTTAACTGGATAGGTAGAGGCTAGGTTCAGAAGCTGAATATATTTCCTGTGGAGGAGATCTGGAACCATGTTCTGCAGCTCTGGAAACTCAACTCCAGGTACTTGCCCTGGCTAAGTACTAATTACTTATTATGTCACTCCTCTCAACACTGTGCCAGGACTGGCATCTAATGGTCACTCCAAAAGCAAGGCTCATAGATACCTTTTTCAAAACAAAAATTTTTACTTTATCTTCTATTTTTACTTCACCAAAAGTTCAGCCAGTATCTCTCTCCTTCCTCCTTCCCAAAGAGCTATCTCACATAACAAAGAATTATTTTTTAAAAAGGGAGAGAGAGAGAGAGACAGAGAGAGAAAATCAGCAAAACTAATGAATACATTGAGGAAATCTGAAAATATATGCAATGTTCCACACCCATAGACCTCCCACCTCTGCACCTCCCACTCTTCTGAGAGAAGTGTCCTCTCATATCTCTTCTTTGGTGTCATGCTTGCTCTCTGCAATGGGTAGGAGATATATTCTTAGCCAAACAAAGGATAGAAGCAGTTACAGAAAGAAAAAATAAATTATTTTGGCTATATGAAATTTAAAAGCTTTTGCACAAACAAAATGAATGCATCTGGGTTAAAAAGGAAACAGTCTCATGGGGAAAAATTCTTTCTATCAAATTTCTCAAATGATAGTTTGGTATTCAATATATATAAACAACAGATATATGTGTGTATGTATGAAATTGAAAGTCATTTTCCAACAGAAAAATGGTCCACAGATTTGAACAAACAGTTCTCATAACAACTTATAGGAAAGAATGCTCCAGATGACTAATAAAAAGAAACATGTACATCAGAACAACCCTGAGGTTTCACTTCACAACCAGCAAATTGGCAGAGATGAGAAAAGAGAGGAAGAGTCATTGTTGGAAAGGTTGTGCAAAGGAAAGCACATTAGGGCATAATTGGTGCAGTGATGAATCAGTACAACTATTTTTGGAAACCAATTTGGAATTATGTAAATAAATTGGCTAAAATGTCCACACCCTTTTACCCAGATATTCCACCATTAGACATATTCCCCCAAGGCGGTCATTAATAAGAAAGTCACAATATACAGTAGAATATTTATAGCAGCATTTTTGTGATATTAAAGAATTGGAAACAAAGTAGATGCCCACTGACTGGAGAACTGTGGTACACGAATGTAAGGAAATATTATTGTGCTATAATAAATGATAAATATGGTGACTACAGAGAAGCATGAAAAAATTTATTTTGAACTGATTAAGAGTGAAGTAAGTAGATCTAAGAAAACTAGATATACAATGACTACAATAATATAAAAACAACAACAATAACCACAAAGCAATGAATAGTGAAGTGGGAAACCCAAAGTACTCTCACTTTTTCCATTGCTGGGGAGTAAGCTCCCATGATCTCCTACACAAATGGGCTTCATGTCCTAATGCCCCCTTACTTGAGCCAAGACAGCTATATTCCTCCACTGACACAGCCTACTGACTAATGGGCTGCTTGAGAACTGCCACTAAGGTTTATATCATCACAAGTAGCAAAAATAAACAACATGGCAGCAATACAGTCATGCAGTTCACTTGTAGCAACCCACAACTACTACCGAAACTATCTGGCATCTACTTCCAGCAACAACTCCTGTCAAAAGCCCAAGTACTCCAAGTAAGTGATCCCCCACCATGCTGGTCTTCCAAAATCAGACCCAGGCATTGGTAGGCAAGCTTCTTCTTTGGAAAGTAGAGTCATCCATTCTTTTTTTAAATATTCATTTATTTATTTATTTATAGTTTTCAACATTCACTTTTATTAGATTTTGAGTTTTAGATTTTCTCCCCCCTCCTTCCCTCCCCCCTCCCCAAGATGGCATGCAATCTGATATAGGCCATACATGTACAATCATATTAAACATATTTACACATCAGTCATGTTGTAAAGAAGAATTACAACCAAAGGAAAAACCACAAGAAAGAAAAAAAAAAGAAAGGAAAAACAGTATGCTTCAATCTGCATCCATACTCCTAGTTCTTCCTCTGGATGTGGATAGCATTTTCCATCATGAGTCTTTCGGAATTGTTTTCTATCGTTACATTGCTAAGAAGAGCTAAGTCTATCAAAGTTAGTCATCACACAATATGGCCGTTACTGTGTACAATGTTCTCCTGGTTCTGCTCACTTCACTCAGCATCAGTTCATTCAAGTCTTTCCAGGTTTTTCTGAAATCTGTCTGCTCATCATTTCTTATGGAACAATAGTATTCCATTACATTCATATACCACAACTTGTTCAGCCATTCCCCAATTGATGGGCATCCTCTCAATTTCCAATTCTTGGACACCACAAAAAGAGCTGCCATAAATATTTTTGTACATGTGGGTCCTTTTCCCATTTTTATAATCTCTTTGGAATACAGCCCTAGAAGTGGTACTGCTGGATCAAAGGGTATGCACAGTTCTATAGTCCTTTGGGCATAGTTCCAAATTGCTTTTCAGAATGGTTGGATCAATTCACACTTCCACCAAAAATGAATTAGTGTTCCAATTTTCCCACATCTTCTCCAACACTTATCATTTCTTGTTTTGTCATGTTAGCCAATCTGATTGCTATGATGTGGTACCTCAGAGTTGTTTTAATTTGCATTTCTCTAATCAGTAGTGATTTAGAGCATTTTTTCATATGACTATAGATAGCTTTAATTTCTTCACCTGGAAACTGCCTGTTCATATCCTTTGAACATTTAGCAATTGGGAAATGATGTGTATTCTTATAAATTTGACTCAGTTCTCTATTTATTTTGGAAATGAGGCCTTTATCAGAGACACTGAATCTAAAATTTTTTTCTCAGCTTTCTGTTTCCCTTCTAATCTTGGTTCCATTGGCTTTGTTTGTGCAAAAACTTTTTAATTTAATGTAATCAAAATTATCCATTTTGTATTTCATAATGTTCTCCATCTCTTGTTTGGTCATAAATTCTTCCATTTTCCATAGATCTGACAGGTAAACTATTCCTTGTTC